TATAAAAAAAAAATTGTGTATCTTCTACAAGTGCATTAACATATATCATATATGATTTCTGTAAACTGGGTTATATGTTTGTATTAGTAAAGAGGAAGTCAAAGAGGCATGCCTTGCACTTGAAGTAAGAAGGTGTGGTTTTTAGTGGCTATTAGGTCCTGTGGTTGTTCATTCCAAAAAGCAATATCTGGAAGAGGTCAGTCTTCTGCATGGTGGGGTTTAAATGTATTCCGTTGATTCCCCAACACTTTCATGAGGTGGTATGACTGTTGTGATGATGTCTAGCAACATGAAAATGGATCTGACCTCTGCTCATCATCATCATCAGTGCCACTAAAGCTGTTTCTGAAATGAAATGAAATCATGCCCTGCATATAAGAAGTGCAAAAATCTAGAACTTTTGGTTCCAAAATGATACCTTTTATTAGACCAACTGAGAAATTGCAAAACAAATTTTTTTCTGCAAGCTTTCAAGCTCATGCACCCTTCATTCCCTCACAACCCCAAATGGCTGCTTTTAACAAGTGGAAAAATCAAGTTATTTTACAGAAGTAGTAGTTTATTCACATAATGCACTGATAACTTGCATTCATTTTAAAATATATGCTTTTTGAAAAAGGAGTGTTGTTAACAAGTATGAAATAAATGGCTCATGCTAGTCGCACTTAACCTTTTACCTCTTCAAATGTAAAAATAAACCAACATAAAATATTAGTACACTGTACAGTACCTCTATTCCTCTTAGAAGAAAACACAAAATCCAGTATATTGTTTGAACAGATTTTTAAACATCTATTTCCTTTCTTCAGTAATACTGATAACGCTTTGTGGCTGTTGGGGAACTGCAGCAGTAGGCAGAGTAGTGACCGATGACCCTGCTAATCACAACTTAATTATATCAAACACAGAAGCACCTGGAGACGTAGTGATGGTGAGTTTTCTTTTTATGTACTTAAATGCAGAAATCTGTTAATTTGAAAACAGTTTTCAGTTTCAGTATTTATGAGCTGTGGTGCCACTCATTCCCAGTGTAAAAGTTTGGGCATCCTTTAGGCCAGTGGTTCTCAGCCTTTTTTGTACCAGGACCCATTTTGTAAACATTGATGGCCAGTCCCAACCCACAGTCTCCTGGCTTTGCCAGTGCACTTCACTCCCCACCCAAAGCCCCCTGGTACCCTGGGCATTGCTGGTGCCTCTCACTCCAACTCACCCCCACCTCCCAGCCCTGGCAGCGGGGACTCCCAGCTCCCTCCATCCTTCTCAAGTCAGAGCGTGGTGCCCATGGTGGCTCTGACTCATGTGGGCAGCAGTAGAGCAAGTCGGGCCCTGACATGGGCTGGAGGGAGGAGGAAGGGAGGCTTGAATCACTCTCCCTGTCCCCCAACCTGCCCTGCCCTGACCTTGGGCTCCTGTACTGAGCCAGGCAGCCTGGTCATGGCCCCACCTGTCCCTGGAGCAGTGCATCTCAGCTGCATCATCCCACCCCTGGAAGTATGGGCACTGGCCCTGGTGTGGCTGGCCCAGCCATGCAGCTCCCCACAACCCCCAAAGTGCCCCCCCCCTTTCCCCACTGGAGGGACAGGTACCTTCTCCCCTGCTCTGGTGCAGCTTCAATGCCTAGCCACCTTCCCTCAGTGCCAGAAGCCCCCCCCCCCCCAACACACACACACCCATCCCCCCCACGTACATATATACACACGCACACACACTCTCCCCTGGACAGTTCCTAATCCCTGGCCCTCCAACCCTCACTCCCCATAGACTTACCTGCATCCAGCTGCTGGGGCTGCTTCCATGACAATTCCAGCCACATGCGCAGACATGTGCACCTGCTGCCTCCAGTAGTCCCAGGCAATTCCTTGTGGGCTGGAATACTGCCAGCCTGAAAGGGGAAACCCATGCTTTCCTGTGTTTTTCTGGCACTTGCTTATGACCCTTTTAAATATTCTTGTGACCCATAGGTTGAGAAACACTATTTTCAGTTGCCTATAATTTTGTCACAAATTAACTGTTTAGGTTGAATTTTTTATGCTTCTTAATGACTGAGGGGAAGAAGAGGGTAGAGAGAGCGAGGTATATGAGAGAACCATTCCAGCTAAAATGGTCAGTCATATCCATATACATTAGGAGAAAATAGTGTCTTACGCATGTAAAACAAAATTAGTTTTGTTCAGAAGTTTAGTACTAATATGTTTTTGGGCAGGGAAAGGGTTTGCCTAGACATAAAGGATGAGACTTCTCCCATCCCTGGAAAATTCATTCAAAGTTGGTTAAGTCACGTTAAGCATGTGTGAATTGATATGTTTAGTAGATACTTAGTTAGAGTTTGGCAGCTAAATTCTTTCTGCACTAAGCGTACTCTAGGCCAGAGGTTCCCAACCACCAGGCTGCAGCCCAGTACTGGCCCGCAAAGGGCTGGCTGCTGGGTAGTGGCACAAGCCCCTCCTCGGACCCCTGTCTGTCTGCCTGGTTGAGTGGCTTCTGCTGCCAGCAGGCATGTGCAGGCTTAAATCTGGGGGGTGGGGCAGCTGGTTCTGCACGCTCTTTCCCACTGCTGTGCTTCTCCGCGGGGGTGGTAAAAAAAGGTTGGGAACCACTGCTGTAGGCTAGTGCAGGCTTGGACCAGGATCTTCCTTGTATTTGCTTTTGATATACACAATTGACTTTTTTTAGAAAAGAGTTTCTTAAACAAAAAAATTATGTTAAATATGCATTACAGGAATTATTTAGGTTGCAAAGTCAAGTAACTTGAAAGGTGGGAAATGCCAGACTTACATTTCCTTGTTTAATCTTAATGAATCCTTCCTTGTGTGTCTATACTAGTAGTGATGAGTATTTGACTGACCAAGTATTGTCAAATAATGGTAAAATATTTTAAACATGAATGTATTAGGATTGTAATCTTCAGTAGGTTAAATATGCATGCCAGTTACAGAAAAAACCCTTACGTTATTTTGAACGAATGAAATTAAACTCTAAAAAAAAAATGGTAATGAATTTTTATAACGATCAATGTTAGATAAATGCAAATGTGAATGGTATTCAAGATGAAACAGTTCTTCGTTTCCTAGGCTTTTATCCTGAAATCCTACAGTCAGCCTGAACAGTTACAAAAAAATCCCACACAACACACACACAAAACCTCTAAGAAACAATAATAAGTTTAAAATGCAGTTAACTAAGCCAACTCTTCAAACATGTTTCTGTTTGCATTTGGAGAGGCCTGCAATCACAGCAGATGACCAGTAGGAGAAGTTTACTATGGTGCTGGTTTGGTCAAGGTTCGAATTACGCTTTGACTCCTGGGGGCATCTGCAGAAAAAATTGGGCTGCCCATCACGATGCCCTAATAAATTCCCCTAGAACAGTGGTCTCCAACCTTTTTAAGAAGGAGATCACCTTTGGCATTTAAAAGCAACCCAAGATCTACCATGCAGTGCCACCACTCTGCCCAGCAGGTAAGTCTGGGGAGGGAAAGGGCAGGGGGCAGATTGAAGCAGAGGGAGACAAAATTATTTGGGGGTGTGCCCTCCCAGCAGATAAGACTCACCTGGCTGGGTGTGCACTTAACTTACCCCTGCTCCTGCCTCTGTGGTACTGTCCCTCACTGCAGGGGCCTCAACCTATCCCCCGCCCTGCAATTCAAACCCTGGTTTTGTTTCTTGCTTCAGCACAGAATAGCTCCTGCAGCCCTGCATAGCTTGATGGGGAGGGAAAGGAGAATGAGGCTGGAAGAGCTCAGGAGAAAGAAATAGGGAAGGAAGTACCTGCCACACTCGTGCCTGTGTTAACAGATGATACTGTGATGCAATTAAAAAAAGCAGGCACAGCAAGGATTAAAAACAGTGTGCAGGGGTGTGAAACAGGGAAAAGATAAATTGTTTTTAATCTTTGCTGTGCCTGTTTTTTCCTCAGGCCTGAAAAAAAGTACCTTGTGTTCAAAAGCTAATCTAAGTTATCCAAGCCATGCAGCTGGTCCAATAAAGGATATCATTCACAAAAATCTTTTATTCTCATATATTTCCAGGACCATTGTTGCTACCTCACCTGAGCGCTGATTTCCAACCAGGGTGCTGTGGCACAGTGAAGTGCTTTGAGACCCTTTCAAGGGTGCTGCAGGGTGCCACTCAACACTAGCACTGTTAGGTGTGCAAACATGATTCATAAGATAAATCCAGAGAGCACATCCAGATGACTGCCCATGTGCCTCCTGCAGTGTCTCAAAGCCCTTTGAGATGCTGCAAGAGGCATACGTGGGAAGAAAAAAAAACATTCCTTGTGCTGCAAATTTGCATCATGGGGTTAAAATTAGACCCCTGGATATCTAGGGGTCAAAAAATACTCCAGGGGAAAAAAGCAGGGCAGGGCAGAACAGAGCATTTCTATGGTTGGCCCTTGCCCTGGTGCTGTAGCACACTGCCTGCCCATGCAGGGAGCTGGGCCTGGGCACCATGCTGGTAAGTGGAGGGGGGCTGGAGTAGGGGGGAGAGGACCAGGGAGGGTGCCGCTGGCCCCATCCCCCACCTACTCCCACAGCCCTGCCCAATGGCTACCCCGCCTGGCCCCAGCATCTTGGCAATTAAAGAAAAGCCCCACACTCACCAGCAGTAGCAGCTGCCGTCAGGGTCACTGGGGCCTTGTGACAGAGCCCGTGCACATAGCATAGGGCAGAAGAGACTGGCTCCAGCTGCCTGGCACCTGCACTGCCGCTGCCCCATCACAGGGGGTGTGGCAGGGGCTGGCAGGGTGCCACCGTCAGGCAACCAGGGCTGCTCAGGTCAAGCGGTGCCAGGCCCCGGGTGACAGCTGCAGTGGCCCCAGCTGCTTGACAGTGCATGGAGCTGTGTGGTGCCCTGCCAACCTACACTGTCTCCGCATGAGAGGTCAGTGGCAGCATGGGTGCTAGGCAGGCGGGGCTGGTCTCCACTACCCCCTGCTTCCTCATGCTGTGCAGTGGGGGGGCTCTGTCACGAGGCCCCAGTGACCCCGATGGCAGCTGCTACTGCTGGAGAGTGCTTTTTTGGTTTTTGTTTTTAAATGCCAGAAGGCTGGGGCCTGGTGGAGTAACCATTGAGGGTCTGAGGGTATAAGTCAAGGCAGGGGGCAGGCAGGGCAGCCATTGAGGGGCTGCAGGAACCAGCAGGGGATGGGGATGGGGATGGGGCTGGGGCTGGGCAGGCAGCGATCTGAGGGGGCTGAGGGAGCAAGCGGGGGTGGGGCATGTGGGCCCTACAGGTGGGGTGATAGCCCTTGCAGGGGCCATATGGCCCCTGTTGTGGGGGCTGTAGCCCCTGTGGGGGGTGCAGTCCATGTGCTGTGTGGGGGGCTGCACCCTGCTGGGGCAGGGGATCCACATCTCCTGAGCAGCTCCTCCAGTCTCCCCACAATCCACCTACACCTACCCACATCCCCGCAGCACACTCCTTGTGTGCCCAGCTGCCAAAGAAGATGACACCTGCTGGCAGGAGCTGTGGCTGCAGGGATTAGTTGTCCCCACATCCTAGTTAGTGAAGGGGTCAGGGGGAGCTCTAGCTGCTCTATGGTAAGAAAACCAAAAGGCAAACAGCAAAACATATAGGTATTTATCATCATAGTAAATTGAATTCTAAAGACACTGGTAGACTTCCAAATACTTTAACACTAGATACATCAACAAAACATTGCCCAACTGATCTCCTGTCTGTCTGTCTGTCTCTCTAGTGGTTTTTTGTTTTAATTGTGGAGGAACATGAATTTCAGGTTATTTTACAGAGTGACTTTGGGATTTTTTTTATCAGGGATTTTGCAGTTTTCAATAGGGAATACCAGAATTCCTGCTAGGGAGGCAAGTGGCAGGATCCAAGCAGAGGAGCCTGCTCAGAGCTGGCACCTTGGACCCAGCTGGAGGTGGCCAACCTCCTTGCCAGTTGGGGCCAGGAGGACATACTTTGACAGTTCAAAGCAGGCCAGCACACTGGGAACATCTTCTGAGTGATAGCTTCCCAGATGGCTAGGCAGAGGCACACTCTTATCACTGAACACCTAAATGATTTTTCACTTACCTCAAGTGATCAAAGCAAGAGCTCCTCTTAACGATATAAATTTAAGGCATTGACTATTTTTTTTCCATTTATGCATAAAAGTCAGTGAAAAGGCTGATCAAGTGAAGGAATATATACAACACAGAACTGAAACTTTTACTTTACGTGCAGTTGTTTTATTCTTTTGAAATGGTATACCCAAAATAAAAAGGTGATAATGAAAAAGAAATGATGCAACTATCTTTGAAAAACGTGCACCTGAAATACATTGGTAGATTTCCGCCCCCCTATTATCTTTGCTTCTAGGACCCAAATATAATTCCTCTACAAACTACAACAGTAAATACTTGTGAGCAAGTGGCTGGCCTGGGCACAATTGGACAAGGAGTGGGCACAATTGGACAAGGAGTGGGCACAATTGGACAAGGAGTAGAGCAACACAATTTTGGAGGGCAAAATATGGATTCGGGCAAATACTCCTACTCAGAATGGCACAATTTTACGCATCCTCGTCTAGGTGAAGTAAGTATTTTGGTACTTTTTCCTCACAGCTCCCACTGTCTACATTATACCTAGTATAAAAATATTTTCAAAACGTGAATAATGTATTAAACTAGAGAGGGCTTCCCCTACCTTTACTGTTGTTAGCTCACACTGTGATTCAGAATGCTATTGTTTTAGGGGGAAAACATCTTTTCTTCAGTTATTTTGTATAATTAGAGAGAGTTTTCATGACTTCTTTTTGTTTAGCTTTTGAGTAGCACTAGTGTTGATCATTTAGACTGTGACAGTTTTATGTACATTTTTGTGGCTGTGTGGGAGCATCTACACGTCACTCTATAGCAACATTATTATTGTGTCATGCTTTAGTACTTTCTTTTGGAAATCCTAAAGCGTGGTGCAGTAATTGCCTATAATGTGGTGTGTGTGTGATGCGTGGTTAGTTTTTGCTGCTACTTTGTTGTAGCGGTATGCTAAAAATGGAGGAGTGCGCCACTACGGAGAAGTACCTGCTGATTACATGTAGACCTATGTGATCGCTACGGCAACATAGGGCGATGTGTAGATGCACCCTGTGTCCCTTTGTTTAGTTCTGATCTAACTGCTTCTATTCTACTAGTTGGATATTAATGCTATTTATAGCTTGTATATGGTTATACAGCCTTAAAAAGAACACGCCAGTCATTGGCAATTAGACACTGTCACTTGTGTGTAAATCAAGCTTTTAACTTCTATTTCAAATGAATTTTAATTAACAGGTTATTTAAACAGGTTCTTCATTCTTATTACATGTGTGATTAATAGAAATTATTTCTGTGTTAATTACTTATATTTTATAGTATGAATGATATAGACCAATCATGTGCATTTTTTGTATGTAGGAATCCATTAGAGGACACACTCTGATTAAAAATTAATCAATGAAAGGTAAATCAAAGAAATTATTTTTATGTTATATGTTTAGGATAACAGTTTAAGAAAACTAATTAGATGGGTTTGTTTCTTCCTATGCAGAAAGTGCATCTGTGCAGACAGGATGAAGAGCTTAAGCATTCAGAAGACTATGTCCTTCCATATAACTATGAAGGAAGGGGATCACTGGCTGGTTCTGTAGGCTGCTGCAGTGATCGGCAGGAAGAGGAAGCTCTTGACTTTTTAGATCAGCTGGAACCCAAGTTTAGGACGTTAGCAGAAACATGTGTAAGGAGATAAGTGCGTTTATCACAGTGCTGAAAACTGCAAATAAATGGATGTTTTACTTTGCCAATGTTAGTTGATTTTGAACTTAAATGCAGCAGATTCTACTTTTTATTTTCCTTTCTGAGGGGAGAGGTTTATCAAAAGGCATTAAGGGTTTTTACAAGAACTTAAATCCTTCATAATTTGCCATACTTTATAGATATTGACCTATATTTGTTGTATCCAAGATAAAAGTTTTAAAACATATTGTTCTGTATAACTACTTTAATACCATAATATGGGTTTCTATTTAGCATTACATTTTCCATTCTTTGTTTGTCTGTATAGTTTTAAGTATTCATAAAAATTTCTTTTATTTAGCTTTGGAGATGGAAAGCTTTATTTTATTCAACTTTTCCCCCTTTACTTTTATTAAAAATAAAACAAAACAAACAAATAAAATATCCCCAGAGTTTATATCTGGGATATATCAGAATACTTTACCAGTGTCTGACTTGGACAATCTGGGATCCAAAATATTAATTTTTCAGGAGTAAAATTTCAGAAGATACTAGGTTACTTTATTAGAGGAAACGTTATATGTTAGTTGGAAAACAGAAGGAAAAAAAAAGTATTGTATATATGTAACATAATATTTAAAATTTTATTGACATTCTTTTGGACTAGTAGCTACTACCAGCCTTGCTATCATGAAGAATGTAGGTTATAAGCATTATATGTAAGTACAGCAAAAACTGTGTTATCTAGCACTTCATTAACTGGAAAGCTCCACTAACTGGCATCTGAGGGACGCAGTTTTGCCACTGCAAGCCGAGTTCTTTTCCTTCATTTCTTCGGCCCATGGCCCAGGGCAAAGCAGCCTGTGCGGGGCCCCCCTCCCTGTCCCCTGGCACAGTGACGCCAGGGAGCGCACTAGACGGTGCATATTTGATTAACTGGCATCCCCCATTCCCGGGGATGCCAGATAATGACAGAGCTTTTGCTGTACTTTTTTTTTTTTTTTAAGAAGTAGTAAGCTTGTAGATCAAGAGTTCAGAATACAAGAGATTGCCTCATATGCTTTCACAAGATAACTACTGGACTGCAAAAACCTATGGACAATCTCTTGCTTATTTTAGATTAAATTTTTACATTAGTTGTTTGCTAGCTTCAGCATATCATAGAATGTATGTAATTGGAAAGAAAATGGATCTCATAAGGTTATTTTTAATCAGTCATTTTGCTTAATTATTAAGGCTGCTTACAGATGTAAAAAAAATCCCCCAAAACCAAGAGTTTTACTTTGAACTCTGTGCACCCCAGCACACGCTCAGAAGAGGCATTGCATTAGTTGGACTCTGTTCACGCAGTGTCTTCAGTGCGGCTTTTATGGCACTTTTATCTAATAGGCAATTGATGCAGCTTTAGATGAAAATGCTGAAATGCCTCATTGAAGCTTCTGATCTGTTCAGATGCTGTGGAACCGAGTCAAAGTAACGTACCATTTCTTCCAGGAAAGCAGGTCCTCCCTTCCTCCCGCAGTCTATCAGTGCCCTAAGTTTTTGTGTTTTTTTTCTCAGATTCAAATTCACCAAAATATGTTATAAGTTTCTTGGAGATAACACTGATGGTTTTTTTATGGGAAAATATCAAAGGTTGATGCCTGTAATTACTATGAGTAGGAAGTATCCTATTTTAGGAGCTAATATGGAGTTGTTTGCTGTATACACAAAAGAACATGTGTAGATGGGCTCCTAATCAAAATTATATATAAATATAAAAGTATTTGCTCTGGTGTAATTAATATTAACTTATTAAAACTTAATTATAGGCAGGAATTCTTGTGGGCAATATCTTTTACTGGACCAGCTACCTGGTTGGGACAGACATTAATTATACACAGCATATTAAGTTACAGTAACAACCACTAGGTCACAGTAAGATATATACCACCAAATCCTGAATTCAGTAAGTTTTTATTACTTACCCAGGATATTCAGTGTTATTTCTTTTCTCAGGTGCTTCTAGAATTCCTTTGTGCTTTAAAAATTTCCTTTGCTGTTATATTTAAAAAAAAAAAAAAAAAGGTAACTTTGTGCAATTTAGTTGTTAATGTTTCTTTTCAGCAGTGTTGCTCTGTAAACATGCTTAAGGATTTTTTAAAAATGTACTATTCATAAATTCTTTAAAACAAGCTCTCGATGATAATAAAGTGTCACTTTGCTCTGAACCCACGTGAAGAACCATCACTGATTTGAGAATAACAATGACTGCAGGTACCAAACACTAAACATCAGTGTAACTTTTACCAGTTTAGTAGAGTAAGTTACAACAGTATCTGGAGCAGATGGACCAGCACCTCCTTTGCCAATTACAGAAGATACTATTACAACAGTTCACCACCTGTTGACACAGAAAGCCATTTCAATAGACTACACAGCTGGGAATAGGATAAAATTCACAAGATACAAATATATGTAATCTGTACATCAACATTCTTTTAGTATATAGTCACTCATGACTTTGAGGGCTAATTTTACCATGGAGTGAAGTGGCATACACAAATGTAGAGCTGTGACCCTCTATCTGTTCCACCAGTATATAAATATATTGTTTGTCTTTACCCAGTGATTTCAATACAAAGATACAAGTCAGTGAAAAACATTTATTGTCTAAAGAGTTAGCTAGAAAGCTGCTTATCAAAGTAGCTTTTTCTTTTTCTCATACTATTAGTAGACATGAGAATATTCATGATAAGGTTTAGTTGCAATAAATAGCCTTCATAAATACAAATGCTAAATGTATATTAAGTAATTTGTACAGTCTTTTAGACTGGGGAAGTGAATTTACCCTGAGTAGTGTCTACTGCCAACAAGAAAAGCAAGATCAAGATATTATGAACTAATTTTGTAATGGTAAATTTAAGCAACACTGCGAACAACCATTCCTTGTCATTTGCATCCTTGAGTCTTTGTACACTAGAGATTAGACGCTGAACCTTGTAAACTGGGATAGTTCCATTGACTCAAATGGAGTATGCTGATTTTTACACCAAAGATCTGGCCCTAAGGTTCTAACTAGCTTCCTTTTTGTTCTTACGAAGTATGTTCAATTTTAGCAGTGGGTACTTTAAGATAACGCACTTTTTTTCCCTTGGGTTCTTATTTTTAGTAATAAATTTTAAAAAAATCCTGTGGCTCATAAATGTCCTGGATATTTTATATATACTCTTTATAATTACTACAGATGCACCAAAACCCCTCTGGAACTATATGGTTTCACTAGTAAAAACAAAATAAACACCAGAGCAACACTTTAAAATAAGTCAAATTTGCCCATGCTTCGTATACTTGGAAATTGGTGCTTAAACTTCAAAAACTGCAGGATAATAATTCATTCCAAACAAACCACTTTACATTGACATTTCAAATAACAGTAAAACATGTTTCTATTTCTACTCTTTTAGTTTTTGTGAAGATTGGCTCTTCTAAGCCTAATTTTGGGGCCATGTGCATCTCAAAATTAATCTGTAAACCTTATGACCTTTTTCTGCACAGCCAACATGAGAGAAAATATTTATAATATATTTGCTAATTCTGAGAATTTGAGAAATTTGTATAAAGCAAACAAAAAAGTGTTTCAAAATGTGTTCTTATTGATTATTATTGGTCTTGGATAAACTTGAAATAGATTTGTTCTTTTCAGCTGAGCAGTTTCAAAAGCTGTCCAGTTGTTAAAATATTACCTTGTTTAACATCATGTTTTTATTGTATTTTGTATAACAGTAAATAATAAAGTGGATTTTTGCAAAATAAGAGAGACCTACTGCAAAAACAGTTCACTTCTTGTATACTAGAATAAGATGCATGGATAATTAAAACATGTCCTGATGCAAGCTGGCCATGAAGATGACCTTATCTATGGGGACTACTACATTTAAAACCATTTATATTTTCGAAACCACATGCATGCTATGCTACTACTTAACGAAGAGGTGTCAAACAAGTCATTACTTTATAAAAATAGAACCCTTCACTGAAGCCAGTGGAAAGTTCTAATTGACAACCATTGGCATAGTATGTTCCACTGTGCCATGAAACTAAACAGTTGCTTATGTGTGCTCAAGGTATAGTATAGTATGCTTTATGCACTTAAAAAAAAAAACAACAAGTGTACAAGTGGAACATATTACTCTACACACCTGAGATCACTGACAGATTTTGTTACTAGCTATCGTATTTGAAAGAATTAGTATAATGCCAATGTTAAGACATCTGTCCAAATAGCTGAACTTATCCTAAAAAGAGGAGGTTGGACACTAATTTTATCAGAATATTGAGTTTAAAAGAGTTGCAAGAACTGTAGAATGTCAACTTTGCATAGCTTGTCTGGCATCAGACAGAAGTGAAAGGCAGCATGGATAGGGGATGACCCTATTTCTCCTACAGCCCATCCTCTCAGATGTGACAAATACCACTGTCCCTTCCTGCAGATAAGATGCATCAGAAATTGGTTAAAACTCTTCATGCCCTAAAGTTATAGAAGATTGTATGGCTAAACTATGATCCCTTGGAAACTGCCGCAAGATAAATGTCTTAAGCATTCAAGCACTGTAGCAGTGAGTGGGAGGGGGGTGCTTTTGGATCATAAAATCCAGATGCTAGAAAGAATGCTGGGTAGCAGTGTTTGCTAGAACTTAGACATAAGCAAGCACAAACTCTTAATATCAGCACTATATTGCCAGTTTGTGTGCAACAGGGAGAATATATGAGCCCAGACCTCCCAAGCTATTCAGATATCTAACCCCAAATGATGGTCCTAAATCCAACTAAAAAAAATTAGATGAGCACATATCACTTTGTGATTCCTACTTATAGGCACATGGTACAGTATTCCACCAGGCCGTCTGAGGCATAAACTATATTAATTGGCCTTCGCGTTGGGAACACTGTGCAGCAGGGTCCCACTCCTGCTAGCCTCAACTTCCCCTGTTTAGATACTCGGGGAAAGTGATTTTCTACTAGTATACAGCCCTGACCTGGAATATAGGCTGTCGTTGACTTAAAACATTTCAAGTTACAACGTTTCTCACTTGCAACATTTATAAATTGACACCCTGTTTCAACTTTTTGACATCAGTTTCAACTTTACAACACTTGATCTGATGTGACACCATGCCAGGGAACAAGTCTCGGTGTCACCCATCTCCCTGGAGAACATCTGTCCAAACTTCCTTGGGCACTTTCTTTAAGAAAGCAGGCAAGACTTCAGAGAAGAATCCATCCAAGAACCCTTGAAAAAGTCCAGCCAAGTCACCTCAAAGAAGTCCTTCCAAATCAATATGATTGCTATTTACAATATAAATACATTAATGTAGCTA